GAAAAAGCCCGCAAGTTGTGTAAATCTTGTTCAGCCAGAAATTGCGAGTTTGTCTGCCGATTACGTCCTGTGGAGAACGCGCGTTCTCCAGTAGCACCAGGTTTGTCTTCAAATTCGCTTTCTCTCTCCTTCTCTCTTTCTCTTCTTCTTCTTCTTCTTCATCATCATCCCCTCAACCTACTCAGGGTTTCTGTCAAGATTAATGAACCCCGTACTTGGGAACTTTTAATTCCAAAGACCACGAGTGCAAATAAGTACCGCCATTCGTCTTGTCCGCCAATTATATACCCGCAAGTACTGACTTATCAGTGATGGATACCAAAAAGTTGGCAATTTTGAAAAATTATACAAACTGAATTTTCTCGAATTTCACTCTTATTCATAGAATAGGAATGATTCAGGGTTGTCATGTTTTTACTCATTTCAAATTCCCTGACTTTTCCAGGTTAAAAAACGGAATTTTTCCAGGTTTCTAAAACTACATTTATATTTCACAAAATTAAATAATTCCAATTAATTTTTATAAATGAAACTTTTATATAATACTGCATTCCGCATTGTTATATTTATCTTTTTCAAATAAATATTTAATTATTATTTTTCCATAGGAATAAAAATTCTTCAAAAGATTCAAATTCAAATCGTTTTGAAATTAAACAACTTATAAAAAATTGTTATAAAACATGAAGAAATCGATCACTCCGAGACAAAGACTCTAAGCACTCGATATTTTCATGTTTTATAATAATTAAAAATGACCGACTGATAAAATCATTATTTTATATTATAAGAATAGTGTTACTGTAACTTATTCAAAATTACTCTCATCACTACAATTCAATTATTGTTTTTCACAATTTTTAACTAAAATTCTTCATTAAATTAATTATTTTTAATAATTTTTTGGAAAATTTTCAAATCCTTTTGTTTACAATTTAATTTTACAAAATTTCATCGATTATTTAAAAATTCTTTAATCAAATAACTTAAACAAAATTCAATTGAAGTTTTAAAAAAAACGAGAATTCAATTATTTAAATACAAAAATATATAATTTATTCCAGAATTGAATGTTTTTTTAAAATTGAACTCTCATAAAGAATTTTATCAACAAATTTTTAAATAGGTAATTAAAAATCTTTTGACATATAATTTTAATTTTCCAGAAATTAGATTAAAATTGTATTAAAAATAATTGAATCTATGTAAAAAATTTGATTTTTAAAAATTTCAAATATCCTTTGAAATTCTAAACTTTATAACAATTGCTACTGTAACTTATCCAAAAATTATTTTCAAAATTTCAATTCAACTATTTTCCAGAATTTTTAACTAAAATTTTTCTCACATTCAATTTTTTTTAATAATTTCTGAGAAAGTTCCTTAAGAATTCAATTTTTTATGTAAAGAAAAAAAGTTCTCCTAAAATATTTTTGAAATCCACTTTTCTTTCCAATTCAATTTCATGAAATTTCAATAATTTAAAAATTTTTTCAATTAAAAATAGATATAAAAATACAACTAATTTCAAAAATATTTTTAAAGACTAGGTATATTTTTATTTTTATTTTTTAAAATTCAACGTTTTTAAATTAATTTATTTTCCTCAATTTTACGTTAATATGTAAAATTTTTTTATTATAGAACATAACATTTTTGCTAACTTTTTATATTACTTTTTGTTGTTGTTTACAATTTTGAATTTGAATTAATTTAATTTGTACATAGAATTTTATTATATATACGAAAATAATTGAATTCTTGCAAACTTTTTTCTGACAAATTTAATTTTAAAATTGTATTGAAAATAATTTGTGTAATGTAATGTAATTCAAGAATTTTATGGAAATTTTGTGAAAAAATTCAATTCTTTCGAGAAATTTTATTCAAATTATTGAATTCCTGCAAATTTCTTTTACTAAATTTTTTGAAAATAATTGATCTTTTAAAGAATTTTATATAAAAAATTTTAAAGAAAATTGAATTTTTGCAAATTTTTTTTCTATTTTGTAAATTATTATTTATGAATTAATTAATTAAATTCTTGTGGTGAATTTTATTAAAATTTTTGTAAATAATAAATAATAAAAATTTAATTAATTAGTTAATAAGAGAATTTTTTTAAATTTTGAATCTGAAATTATTCAAAAATTAAAGTTGACATTTGAAAATAATAAATTTTGTAATTTACATAATAATTTTATAATTTAAATAGCTAGTTATTTATATTATTTATAAGAATTGAATTGACAACTTTAATAAAATTCAATTATTTGTTGAATTTATAAATAATAATTTTTCGCTAGTTTTTAAAAAATTAAATTTTTTAAAATAAGTTCAATTTTAAATCTGTAAAGTTTACTTATTGTTAGAAATAGAAAGAATTTATAATTAAATTAAATTTCTTCAATATTTTTAAAGGCTACAAAAAAATTTTGAGTTTTCGAATTAATTCTAGAAATTAAATATTTTTCCAATACTTTTTATAAAACTCCCTGACTTTTCCTGATTTTTCTCTGAGTTGCCTAATTTCCTGTGGTAACCCTGATTATACAAATTGAATTTCTATATTTTCATGCAATTCACAAAAACTGAATAGAATGGCAAAATTTGATGATAGTTTCATCATCGACGAAGAAATAGAAGAAATATTCCAGTGCGAGCAATTCTCGATCAGCAATTCAAATTCCATCGAAACTATGAAAAACTTGGCCTATTAGAAACAAATCTGGATCTAAAAATAGAGAAAATAAATGAAGTCAATTGCCATAATTCTGGTAAATTAATTTTGAAAGTAATGGGGAGTTGACGTGATGCCAAATAAAGGCGAAAATCACGAATGAATATAATTTCTGCTAGCCTGAGGGGGTATACGGTAAGCTCGCTACTAAGAGGTACGTACTCGGCTGCTTCTAATCGTGCGACTACTCAAGAAGGAAGGTTGGTGATGTGCAGGGCATATTGGCTCAACGGGGTGCGGGCATAACGCAAAGGCCAACGTAATCTTAAGTCCCCCTCCGCCTTTTATACAGTTTCGTATTCGTGAACGACTCTCACATTCTCTCATCTCTTTTTATTCTCTCATCTTTTTCTCTCCTTCTCGCTTTCTCTCTTTTACTTTTGTCTCATCCTATCTAACGCTATCTAATTCCGTCTCTTTCTTGTCCGTGTGCAAGTTCGTGTGCAGCACACACGTGATTTAATGCCTCCCGAGCTGTGCTTCTTATTTATGCACCGAACATGCATACACGCTTAGCCAACGTTAAGGTCGGACATCCTACGGCCGACAAGGTCCGCACGTTCAATACGGACTCGCATATTATGGAGAAGCATATCGTCTGAACGATACGATATTAAAACAAAAACGAGAACAAAAGACGAGGTACACACGATATAGTCTCTGATCGAATATAAGCTTGTACGAAATTAGTAACTTCTCTTTGTTCCAAAGAATATGCTGTAAGTGTGCGCGAGCTATACTTGTGCGACGTGTTTAAAAATTAATATATTTCATATTCGTTATTATCGTCTCATTTTAAAAACTTTATCTCAAGGGGATAAATTTAGAAAAGTCCAATGAAAAATACAGACACGTTCTTTTCAATTTCCGATTGAATCTAAAACAATTTCTAATTGATCTCATTATTTTAGAGAAATATTGTATAGAATAAAATTCGTGTGTCAGGAAATAAATTCTATCAACACTATAAAATATAAACAAACCCTACAATCAACCCAATAAACTCACATTTTTATTTTGAATCACTAAAGATTCGAACTCTAAAGATTTAAATGAACGACGATTTTTTACGTTTCTCCAATATTTCAATTTTGTCAGAAAATATTTTTTTAAAATTTATTTTCCAGTTTTGAACGTTCAAATGAACGAAATTTTTTTTGTTTCAATATTTTTCAAAATGAAAAAGTAATTAAAACTAACCATTTACTTATTTAAGAATTAATTTTTTAATATACAAAATTTTTAAATAAATTCTTTTTTTCGATTTTAGGAATATATTTGTAAAATCGAAAACAGAATTTATTAAATATTTGTGAACGAATAAAAATATTCAAATACAAAATTATTTTTTTTATAAAAGAATACAAATTAAAAGAAATAAAAAATATCGTCGTTCATTTGAAATTTCAAATCTTTATTTAAAAAACTTATTCGTTTCTATAAATGTTAAATTTATTTTACTTTTTATTTTTTTCTAGTAATTTTAGAAAATATTTAAATAAAAAAAATATTCTTTCATTTGAACGTTCAAAACTTTAAAAAGAATAAAAATGTTGATTTTTACTTCAAAAGATTTTCTTTTTCTTAAAGTTTTGAAAGTTCAGGTGAACGCAATTTTTTTGTTTAGATATTTTCAAAACGTTCAAAACTATTTAAATTCTGTTTAAATTTCTATAAATTTTGATATGAAAAATATTAATGCTAAACTTTTTGATGAATAATTTGAAAAAAAATTATAAACAAAACACTTTATAGTTTTCGTAAAGAAAAATATTTCGTCTTTTAATGTTTGATCATAAATGTAAACTTCACCGATGTAAACAATCGATAATTTTAATATCAAAGTAAAAAAAAAATTATTTGATTTAATAATCAGAAAGATTTGATGAAAATATTTCATTTTAAGTAGTATAATTGAATCAGATAATTTTTTTTCAGTTCATTTACTAAAATAAGAATTGTTTTTCACCAGTAATTCAATAATAAAAAATTATTTAAAGTTCAGTTCAGTTTTGACTGATTCCAAATTAATTTATAAATTTTATATTGTAAGGAGTCACTGAAAATAACACTGATCTTCAGTGACTAAGATTTAGAAAGCAATCGAAGTTTCAGAGCAAAAAAAAATTTTTTGGAGTAAGAAAAATACCATTTTTTTCTTATTTTAAAAACCATAAGTTCTCTAAATTTGAAATAATTCAGTCCTACCTTAGACATCATTTGCTTGAAGTTATTGGATTAAAATTTTGGGAATACATACTTTTATATGCAACACATGTCTTCGTTGATCATTTCCTTTCCTTTCCTTTCTTTTCCTTTCCATTGAGACAAAAAACACCATTTCGCTTGAATCCCTTTACTTTCGTAGAATTTACTAATTTTTAACAATTAGTATCACCTGAAATATATTGAAACGAAATTAAAATCTTATTATAAAAAAAGATATAAAATATATCTTTAAAAAAATTCACTATTTGGAATTATTTAAGGAATCATACGATTTAATTATTAATTAAATTAATTAAAATTAATTTCAAATATAGTAAAACTAATTTCAATTGACTTTTTTGATATACTAATAACTTCGAATTTAATTTTTCATTTTAATAATAAAAATATGTTTAATTCTGTTTTAATAAAAATCGGAAAAAAATCAGTAACTTTTTTTTTAAATAAATATTTAATCATTAAAATTTTCCCATAGAAATGAAGATTTTCAAAACTTTTAACTTCAAACCTTTTTCAAATTAAACAACTTATAAAAAATTGTTATAAAACATGAAGAATTCGGTCATCCCGAGTCTTCGACTCGGAATGATCGATTTCTTCATGTTTTATAATAATTTAGATTATCATAAAATTTTTCAAAAAAAATTTAATTACTTTAAAAAATACTAATAAAATTCCTCACAAAAATTCAATTATTTAAACAAAAATGTAATAAAATTCGTTGCAAGAATTCAATTATTTTATTAAATAATAAATCCATCATTCGGAAATTCATTCTTAAATCAATTTTAATGATTTTTTAAATCATTTTTAAATCAATTTTTTAATTCAATTGAATAATTTAATTTTTGTTCAAATGGAATTCTCATAAAGAATTTTACCAAAAAATTTTTAAATAATTGAATTTTTTTGACAAATTTTAATAACATTTTTAAGAATAATCACATTTTGCAAGGCATTCGATTAAAACTGTATCAAAAATAATTAAAATCCTGCAATGAGTTTTATTATTTATTAAAATAATTGAATTATTGCGAAAAAATTTATAAAAAAAATTGAAATCCTGGGAAATTTTTATTATTTATAAAAAAAAATTTGTTTGCGTGGTATTTTATTAAAATTTCTTTAAATTTTATTGAATTTCAGCGAAAATTTTTGCTATTTATAAAGATAATTGTAATCATGACGAGAATTTTTTTTAATTTTTGAAAATAATTGAATTTCTAAAAAGAATTTTCTAATGCTTAAAAATAAAATTTTATTCTCGTGATTAAAGATTGTTATTTATGAAAATAATTGAATTTTCCAAAGAATTTTATTTTTAAATTCTGGGAAGAATTTTGATATTTATCAAGATAATTGCTTTCTTTCTAAGAATTGCGTTAAAATTTTGGAAATAATATTAAATACAATATTTAAAAAATCATCTAATTTCAACAGAATTGAAATTAAAATTGTATCAAAAATAATTGAAATTCTGCGATGAGTTTTATTATTTATGAAAATAATTGAATTATTGAGAACAAATTTATAAAAAATTGTAAATATAAATGCATTAATGTGAAATTTTAGTTATTTATGGAATTATAATTAAAAGTTTGCTTAGAATTTTATCAGGATTTTTTTTAAATAATTGAATTCTTTTGGAAAATTTTATTATAATAGGAGATATTTAAAATCATTGAATTGAGGAAAATTTTTGAAAATAATTAAAATTTTCCCAAGAATTTTATTAAAATTTTTAAAAATAATTGAATTTTGGAGAAGAATTTTATTATTTATAAATATACTTGAAATTTTGACGAGAGTTTTTAATAATTTATTAACATAATTGAATTTCTGCGAAGAATTTTATTACTTTTGAAAATAATTGAATTTCTGAAATTATATTTGTAACTTCTTCAAAATTCAATTTTTTAAGTGTTTTTAACTAAAATTCTTCTATAAATCTATAATTTTTAATAATTAATTAAATATGTATTAAAAAATGTAACTAATTTTAGAAGAATTTGAATTAATAAAATTATTTTAAAAACTAAGTTCTTTAAAATTTCTAATTAAATTCCTTCAAAATTGGGAATTTTCTTATGAATTTTAAAAATTTAATTTTTTACAGTACTTTTACAAATCTTTGATTTTTCCCTGACCTGTGGCAACCCTCTTTATGTATGTAAAAAATATATGCATCAGGAAAACACCACAAATGTGACCATAATTTTTTTCACCAAATACTTTAATTCTGTTAATAAAGTATTTGCAATTTAACTAAATTAATAAAAAAATTCAGTGAATTAAACTAAATTTAGTAATCCTATAAATATTAATTAATTAGAATATTAATATATATTAATAAAAATAATTAAATAATCAATAAAAGCGAAACATAAGCATTTTTAAAAATAAAATTGCTGTAACCTTAAAATCTTGCGTTAATTTCAATTCAATAACTTTTTATCCTTTTTATATATACAATATAATTCACGTATATATATTTTTTGACTTTTTTGAATACATAACCTCTAAAATTGATATTTATAAATAATTACCGTAGTTTTTGATAAACTTTAATTTCAATAATTAATCTTTATACCTTTCTCCAATACTCCTCGGTCAGTATCACATCCTATTGAATCCCGTATTTTCGAACGATTTTCCGAAAAAAAGTGTTTGAATTTTATTGTCTTATTGGTTTTCACTGAGCCACGTAATATTTTGGAAATTTTTTTTGCAGAATGTTCCAAATTATTGTTTCCTTTGCTGGACCGCCATCTCGCCGGGATAATAAAAACTGAAAAATAAATCAAAATACGTGTAAACCATAAGAAATGTATAATAAATACTGTAAACTGAATAGGTCGAGAGGAAAATTACCTGACCCCTGGACAATGGATGTTCGGAAAATGCATTTTTATCTTTCTTTAAACAGAAAGTATGAATTCGGCACGTTCAAGGATGCGAACAATGGTTGGAGCGATTCTGAAAATTGTACAAAGTAAAGCAATGGAGTGAAAACATCAAAACAAAGGTACAATAGATCATAACAATACAAGAATGAAATATGTATTCCAAATTAATATTCTTTCATATTTGATTTGCAATCAATTTGCCGTTTAATAAATCTTTGACTAAATCGACTATAAATCAAGCGAGATGAGTGAAGTGGAATTATAACCTCAAAATGTATACGTTCGTCAACATTTCATTGTGTACTTTTTTCAATTCACCAATTCAATCATTTTTCCTACACAATTACTTTTTGATGGTTGTTATTCAGTTTTAAAGCAAAAATTTGTTGAGATGTAATATATAAATATGCACGATTTCTTTGGAATATTTAACAAAAAAACAGAAAGAACTTTGTTATGAAACATACGTGTTGCACTATGTATGATCTGAAGTTGGCGTCGCGTACTTTTCGCAAGAATCAGGTGTACCAACCACGAAATGAGAAAACGCAATTATTAACATTAAAATTACTATCATTATTCCATATAATTAAATTAAAACAATTACTTATTTACTTTCTGGGATGAATAATCTCTTATTTTTTCTTTCAGTTTCTTTGTTTTTTCTTTTCATTTTTTTACTGCAAATATTCTATAACTTTGTAAACTCGCCTTTAGGGTGCGAACACACCCCTCCATGTGTGCACGATCAATCGTGTCGCTGATTGGCTTTTCTTGTAGACACTGCTAAATTATCGATATTAACCAATAGATTTCTTGTATTTTTACCGCCTTTTTCATAGTTTATTGACCCCGACACTGACCGACCGACGCCATTTTGACTTCGTGCAAGAAACATGGCTGTACATGGCAAAGTTGTGTTTTGTACAATAAAAGCGTAAAAAGCTAAAAGTTTTGTCATAAATTCGACGATTAAACACGCAAGTAACAAAGTTTTAATAATTACAATAGTTTCTGGAGTATTGAAAAAGTAATCAGTAAATTTTTTTCCTAAAGTCTTTGTTCATTACTTTTCCGACAATCGCGTCTAAATGTTAGGTTAGTTTCGGGAGTGTACGAAATATTTTTAATCGCGATCGTTTATTATAGAGTGTTGTAGAAAGTAAAGTTTTTGTTTTTTATTCAAATCGGGAGTGTTCGGAAACTTAAATCATGGATTAGCTCCAGAAAATCACTGAAAGAAATTCAACATTGCGAACAAAGGGAGCAATGTGAGCAACTACAGAGCGGTCACTTGGAGAATTCATAGAATTGTCTCACATTAAGTATTATGGAAATACAAGGTACTTTTATTTGTCTTAATGAGTATTATTGTGCTGAATTATTATTTTTTTGACAATATTTATTCCTTTTGTGTGTAATATGAGATTTTTGTGCTCCGAAGTTCGGCCATTTTTATTTATCGCACGGAAAATGTTTATTATTGACTTTTACCTTCGATATTTTGTCTTTATCTTTTTTTGCCCTTTATTGAAAAATTCCAATTCAACACGTGGTAACCTTAAAAAATATTTCGCCCCTTGTTCCACAATTTATTAACAATTATTAATTATTTATATTTATATTAATTTATCTAATTCATATTTAATCATTAACAAAAATATTATTTTGAAATAAAAAGCAACTAGTTTGGAAATTTCACTGTAAATTAACTGAATAATTCAATAAAACAAATTTGATTCGTTTCCCATCATTTCTTTTTAGTAATTTTGCTGTCTCATTGCAGATTAAATTTTTTCACACATTAAATTTATCTTTCAATGAACATACATTTAATAATATTCTATAAGGGAAAGCTATAGTTAATTAATAATAAAATATCTTCAATGGTTTAACGTTTACAAATGGAAGATTTTGAATCATTGTGAAGGGCGAGAGAAAAAAAATTGTTTCACAATGGCGTGAAACACAGTTTAGCAAAAAGAGTACAAGATTGCAAGAGGAAACATATCTGAATAAAAGGTTGTTAAGAATCACCTGCTCGGAGGTAATGCATCCGTGTATATTTACCTGGATAATTCACTGTTGTGAATTACGCCTTTCTGACGCCATAACTGACATAAAAAACATGTGTACACGCTACCACTATTTGTGTCTTAATATTTCATTCTGTTTATAATTTTTAATCGCACAATTACATTAGCAGTCTATTTTTTTCCTGATAATCTGAAATCATTAGTTTCTATTTTTTATAACAATTAAAATTTATTTCTAATTAAATTTTCTATAATTAAATTTTAGAAATAGGAATTAATAAAGTTTTTAAATAATTGAAGTTTTGAAAAATTTAAAGTGCAAATTTTTTGAAAATAATTCAATTCTCAAAAATTATAATGAAAAATGAAAATGAAAATTCGTTTTTTAAAAAAAGTATGTTAAGATATTTATTTTAAAAAAGTAATTTGAATTTTTTTGTTAGAATTTTTTAAAATTCAATTATTTTCTCTTTGGCATTGACAACTTCTCGGACGTATTATTTAATGAATAATTTTACTTAAATATTTAAAAATAAATTGAATTTGAAAAGAGTTGCGTTTAAAATTTTCATAAATACTTTGAAATTTTGTTATATTTCAATTATGAATGAATTTAATTAGTACTTTTAAAGAACTTCGATTTTTGAAAAATTTTAATAATTCAAATTCTTCTGAAATTAGTTAAATTTTTTAATATTTAATAAATTATTAAAAATAAATAATGGATGTATAAAAGAATTTCAGTTAAAAACAGTAAAACAATTGAATTTTAGAAATTAGAAATGATTTCAAAAATTCAATTACTTTCAAAAGTAATAAAATTTTTCACAGAAATTCAATTATGTTCAAAATTTATTTTAAATTCTCGTCAAAAATTCAATTACTTTCAAAAGTATAATAAAATTCTTCACAGAAATTCAATTATGTTCAAAATTTATTTTAAATTCTCGTCAAAATTTCAATTATTGTTTAAAATAATAAAATTCTTTTCCAAAATTCAATTATTTTCAAAATTTATTTTAAATTCTCATCAAAATTTCAATTATCTTTTAAAATAATAAAATTCTCCAAAATTCAATTATTTTCAAAAAATTTAATAGAATTCTTGACAAAATTTCAATTATTTTCAAAAATGTTCCTCAATTCAATGAATTTAAATATTTACTATTTCAATAAAATTTTCCGAAAGAATTCAATGATTTAAAAAAAATTTTAATAAAATTCTGCACAAACATTTAATTCTTTTCATAAATAATAAAAATTTCCCAGAAATTCAAATACTTACAAATTTTTTTATAAATTTCTTCGCAATAATTCAATTATTTTCATAAATAATATTATTTTTCCAAATTCAATTATTTTCTTAAATAATAAAATTCTTTACAGGATTTCAATTATTTTTTCTCGAATAATGGAATTATGCTTACAAATTTTATTAAAATTTTTCGAAAAAGTTTAATTATTTAAAAATTTGTTGATAAAATTTTTTATAAGAATTTAATTTTAGAAATTATTTAATTGTTCAATAAATTATTTCTTTTTGTATTTAAATGATTGAATTTTCTAAGAAAAAATAATTTTGAAAAATGAATTTCAGAGAAAATTTGAGATGAATTTTTAGAAATAATTAAATTTTGAAAAGGTTTTCAAATTAAAAATCTTTGAAAATCTGAATTTCTCACATCTATAACTATTAATTCTGTAAAATTAATTTTTTTGAAAAAGTTTAATTGGATTCTTATTTGAAATTATTTGAATTTTTTATTTTCTTAATATGTATTTAATTGAAAAATTTCCGAATTAGCAAAATTTCGTCAAATTGATTGAATTGTAAAAAAAAACAAATTTATAAATTCTCAAAGAACTTTTTAAGAAATTATTAAAAATAATGGATTTAAAGAAAAATTTTATTTAAAAATTTTAAAAAATATTAATTAAATTGAAATGGAACATTTTTTTTGAGTATATCTAATAATTTCTAGAGTGAATCAGAATATTTTTTAGGGTGAGGGGAAAAGTTAAAATTTTGTCTGGAATTTAGGGAAAAGCCAGGCAAAACTAAAATTAAATTTCTATGGCAACCCTGAATATATTTTTTAAAGCGAGAGACATTTTTTATAATAAAATTTGAAATTGAAGAAGAAATAAATTAATTTAGTTGATTAGAAAGTTCTGAACTTTATAGGGACTTAATTATAAAAATCTTCCAATTTATATTTCCAGTTGAATAATTAATTCCTTTGGTGATTTTCAATTCAAAATTTTTTGTTTATTATTTCTAATTCGAAATCTTGCCTTTCTCGTAGTTATTATATCACAAGAAAAAAATGGATAATTAACAATTATTTTTTCGTTGTAGATTATTTGTGGAGATTGGTGGGGATATTTACGGTGGAGGTTCGAGTCAAGAGGTTAAATATCGTTTTGATTGGCTATTTTTTGAAAAGCTTAATTAGGAAAAATCACAAGAACTGTGTATATATATAGGAGGTTGATACTTTTAATTGCGATGCGTCTATCCATATTCGTGTTTGTGAGAAGATATATAAAGAAGGTAGTGAAGAGCAAGGAAACATGAAAGTATATATACATTGAGAAGCAGCAGGAGAAGGAAACATGGCGGCAGGAAAGAATTTTAATTGCCAGTGCAACCGAGATTATATACCTATAAGGATCAGGTTCAGCCATCATATATCAACTACTGATCCAGTAGGCAGAAACAAAATGGCGTTCACGATTAGATTGTTTTCACCCCCTCTTTACCACGCCATTACAAACACGCTATCAGGAACAACTGATCTTTGAGCTGAATTCTATACTTGAAAGGAAAATTTAAAAAAAACAAATATTTTTCTGCTTCGAAAAGAAAGTAAATTTGAAAGGTAATATTTAGGACTTCTTTGCAGTTTCCGTGTGTTTATACACGTAGAGTGGAGAATATAATTTGTGAGTAGTAAATGTTGAATTGTAATTAACCGAGCGTAATGCTAATTTCGACCTATTTAGTCTGGAAAAAAGTAGAAGCGAGCATGTGCAATACAATCGCTAACAGCATATGTAAACCACCTGCCAGAGATTCATTGTGTTATCTGCAAGTACACTCGTTACGCGAACATTCGTATACACGGAAACCATGAGCGATAATGCAAGGCAATTTGAATCTACAAGTCAATTTCACCTGGAACTGATTTCATTATCAGAACGTGCAGCAAAATCAACTGGCATCGATTGCTATTTGTGTGTATAATGCAACGAGGGGAATCGAATTTCTTTAATTCGATGTAGATTAAATATTTATTATTTTTAGAACTACGTATCATCATCGTTTTTAAATATTAGGAATTTTAGGTTCTGATATTTTGGAGAATGGTTCAGGGCATATTAAACGATCCACGGAATTTTGATTTTTAACTATCAGCATGGTTGCC